GGGCTGATCTAAGTCAGGGCATGGCTAACTCACAGATAAAACCCCGAAACAACCTCTGGGCTGATCTAAGACCAAGCACGGTTAACTCACAGATCGAACCCTCAAACCCCAAAAACCCACAACACCTGGTCAAGATCGAAACACTGTACTTTTTACCTTGGATGTCATCATTAAAAGTGCAGATCTTGTTCCGATACTTCTCAAGTAATCTAAAAGCATTGTGGTTGCCAAAGTCTTCAAACTGAATCAATGTTGTTGGACCAAATCTGAATATCAAATTAACAATTACAGCTGTATCGATGTGACAATACTCCTATTTTGAGTTCGCTCAGTATAGTAAGGAATGTACAAACTATGGAAAATACGAGTTGATTGAAATACCAGGGGGTTTTGGTTGAATTGCTAAATATTTTAAAACACAACTGAGGCTGAGCAAAGAGAACTCGAAACTGGAGTATTCGATAGTAAACTCCTTTTTCCAATAGATCAAATATACCCTAATGATAAGGATCAACTAGGTTTGAACTTGATACCTTTGTAAAGCAGCTTGGATAAACTCATCAATGAGTTCATCATATGCTTCAGAGTTGTCACACTTCTGCCGGACTCCGATGTAAAAGGGATCGTCAAGCAGGGACTAGATTAGGAAAATAAATAGAACATTGTCAGCATTATGAAAAGTAAATTATTGCATTATTATTATCATCACCATCATCATTGTTACAGTGAAGACACTCTAACCATGAACACTTGGCTTTATTCAGATTTTTATTTCCTGAGCTTTTTACTGCTTCAAATACTCTAAAAAAGTAGGATTAAACTCAAATATGCTATGTGATCAAAAGATAACTTATGTCTAAATGATTCACTCAAGAAAAAAAGTAGTAAAAAACCATAAATTGTTCATGGTTAGAGTGTCCTCACTGTAATAAAGATGATGAAGAAGAAGGTTCCAAGATCCTTACCTGGTTATTGGTGCCAACATCTATCATGACAGGCAGACAACTTCTGGGGTTAATACCTCCACAAACAGTGTACAAAGCWAGCTTTCCCACAGGAATACCCATGCCACAGCAACCAAGGTCACCCAGACCAAGAATACGTTCTCCATCAGTCATGACAATGGCCTGGAGTGACATCACAATGGGAAAAAAACATTGTTGCAGAATATAAAAAATTCTATTTTCTATTCACATCTCCAGAGGAAGTGTAAGTCAGAGTAAATCCCCCTCTGTGGGGGAGGTATGGACATCTTCTAGAACAACACAATATACCCTCCTCAGACCCTCCTGACCACTTAGAAATTCTAATCCCCCTCTAGATCTGTTGTGGGGGGGGGGGGGGGGGGGGGGGTTGAGGGCGGAGGTACTAGTACCAACCTTAACATCTTGTATGGGCCAATTAGCAACAATTTCATTAACATGCCCTTTGTCATAGATAGAGACAAACAGCCCTCTTGGTCGTCGGAATATCATTCCATATTTCTGACAAGCCAGCCCTACTGTCGGAGTGTAYACTATCGGCATTATTTCTTCTGTGTGGTCAAATAATACTCTGAAGAATAAGGCTTCATTCCTTTCCAGCAAGGCCATAAGCTGAATGTACCTAAAATCAAAAGGGGATACAAGAAATGGTTAMATAACATTATAAACAACTATTATTAATCTTTCTTTCTGATTGGCTGGAGGAGCATGAGAGATTCAATAAAATAAATACTGGTTTCCAATAAGAAAAATAGTAAAAAATATTAAATATACAATATATACCAGGGGCGTGACATAGCCAGGATTTTCCGAAGGGGGAATTTACTGAAATTCAAAATTCTGMCATTTTGTTTGGGACCCAGAAAAGCCGAACTAAAAAAAGCCAGCATTGCAAAACTTAGCAAAAGCTAATGAAAATTACCATATAAATTGAAGGGGATGGGCCATGACCCCCTAGGGCCCCCCCCTGKCCCCTTTTTATACAATGCATGCTTTATTAGAATACATAGCAACTGTGTGTGAACTCACTTTTTCGTCATTTGTATCCAAAATAATGGCTAATAATATTATAATTTATATGTTATGAAGAAATAAAAACCTTCCTTGTTGTGCTGTGTGTAGTTATAAAGAACTTGGCTACATGTTGTTCATGCTAATCTCTGCTATTAAGAGCTTTATATCTGCACACAGCRCAGTAGTAACACACATGTATTTTATACTCGCAAGATTTTCACAGTCACACCAAAAATGCTCCACAGCCATGATAATGCTTACTTCTCCAAATCACTTGTTTTTCTATGCAACTCTGCATAAACTCGCTTGGCTTGGGTATCCTGATCCGAMACGTAGGGCGGCAGCAATCCTTGAATGCCAAGGATTTGCCTTTCTTGGAGTGTGAATGCAAGACCCTGAAAATTAGCACCAGAGTATTACATGTTTTTTAACACTGTTTTGAGCAGTTTTTGAATGTGAATTTTAAACATTAGTGAATGGCATAGTATTTGATTCTCATGAAGTGATTATGCAAGACTCCCAAACAATAGGTTGCTATTAATAGACATTCCCAGTCTCATGTGAAATTTTATTGTTTGCCTCTGACGACTGCAAGCTGGTCACGAGATTTATGAGATTGATTCAGCTGATTGATACCACAAGCAATAGAATACTCTCTGGTTGAGATAGCACATGATCAAGATATGCACCCGGCTGGGGGGTACTCTTGCCCGTTTAGGGTAGGGATGTGCCGCTGAGCCCTCTGAACCCTGACCCTATTCCAGAGTATAATTGCTGAAATTCATACCCTATTCCAGAGCAAGATCGCTCAAAACCATACCCAGTTCCTGTAATGTGAAAATAGATACCCTGTTCCAGAGAGGAGAGAGCGTGATTTCATATACCCTGTCCCAGAGCGAGCGCAATTTTATATACCCTGTTCCAGAGTAAAATCACTGAAAAACATACCCTGTTTGGCGGCACGTACCCGTATAGCTAATATACCCGGGATATGCAGTGATTTTCTGTCTTTGTAGGCTGGTATTATGATGAGATTCATGACTTCAGCTGATTGAGTCAAATTTATTGTATGGAGAAATGACTATTTATGGCTCTTGCAATTGAAAAATAATATATAYTTTGTAGACAAGAAAATAAAATAAAGTAAGCTTACAAAAGAAAAACATGGTTATCGTACAAAGTGAAAACAGTTACTGTAAAAATAACAAATATCAGGTTAAATAGAGTGCCTTTTTATATGAAAATTCCCCTTTATTCAATGTTTTTACTTCAGCTTAAGGGTATTAAATATTTATACCAAAACAAATTGCACAGCAGCAAAGAACAAAGGCTTGACCATCCAACGGTTCATTGCGAAATAACATCGTTTTTCCAGTAAATGTTTAATASTGTTTTTCCTGTTGAAAAACATAAAAAAATCTAACCTTATTCAAGCGGCTGTCGTACATAATATCCGTACCACGAATAGTAGGAATTTTGTTGACCCTTTTTTCTTCTGTCATTCTGAAATACGCTGTAGTTGCAGTAAAAATCCTCCGTGTAGCTGCAAGCCTCACYGAGTGACTACAACGTGACAAACAACAACTTGAATTACACGAGGTTAATAAGTAATTGTTTAGCAAACAAAAAATATAAGCTCATTAAAATATTCACATAATTGCATTAAAGAATCCGGAGTGGACTTCAAAAAGAAAAATGGTCTTCTTTTCTTTCATTTTCGATTCCAAACTAACCTTWCTTTCAAATTTAATGATTTGAAAAGGCTACCAACTCGAGAAGAAAGGGTTGGAACTCCCTTTACARCAGTAAGCATAGCTGACAATATGACAGACCAAAACACCGTCCAGAAATTATAAGGTTATTTTGCTTGCATGTACAAGTTTGACTCCGAAAAAAAACCCTTAGAAATGAATGGAGGWGTTATTGATTTTAAATTTAACCGGAGACGGAAAAGATCAGGAAAGCAGATTTTGACGATTTTGACAGGTAAAAAAATCACGTTTTGACGTAGCGTACACTGCACAGTGGGTTTACAACCAATCAAAAAAATTATTTTAAATTATAATTCTTTGTGGCCTGCTTATCGAAAAACAGTTGAAAATAAATTATATATATTAAAAAACTATTTTCAATCAATTTTGAACTTAAGGTTATGTTTTTCAGAGTTTTGAAAATAAACTCGTATGAAAATAAAAAGAAATTTTTCATAGAGGATTTTGTGGGATCGTTTTCCCGCCAAAATTGTCGCCTGCAAACTTACCAAAAAACAGTCTGAAAAAAATTCTTAAAAGGAAAACGTGAGTCAAAGCAGCTGAAATGGGATATAAATACTTTGAACTGCAGAAGTGCACGTCTAATGATATTGTCTTAAAAAGGTTYAAAAGTTATGAAATAAAAGAAGTAAAGATCATGAATGTCAGCTGAGCGYCCCTATCGCGTGACAAAGGTCACGCACTTCTCTACAACGCGAGCCAGCGATTTTTAAGATTTTTTGAGAATCGCTAAAAAAATAAAACAAAATCAAAACAATATTAAAATAGAATARAATGAATAAAAATTCAATCCAAATTTTGATTTAATTTATTTAAAATTATATTTTTTCAAACTAACAAAATATATGCGTGCGCATGAATAATGTTAAAAACAGCTGACATTAACAATGCCGTCTCATGCTGTCATCTTTTAACCAAAGTTTCAAAAACTTGGTCAAAATTTGTTAGAAACTCTCAGTAAAATTTGCCGAAATATTTATATTTGAAGCCATGGAGGGTAAGACCAATAATGATACGACTGAATTCCTTCAAGAGCTCAAGAGTCAGGCATCGCTGAGTCGCGGTAGAGGAGAGAAGGATTCAAGCACTTGGGTTGACCCAGCAGATGGAACARCTTATGAATGGGATAAGGAAAAGCAAGGCTGGTTTCCAAAGGTATGGAAAATAACAAACTAAAACACAAGAAGATTTTTAATGAATGAATACAATAAAGGTTTTTGTATGGTTGTTGATAACAAATTTGAGGTGAAAGATTTRATAGGAATATATAGAATTATATTTATAGGAGATAGAGTAAAATGGCATAAATTYCCCTAGAAGGCTCCCACAACCAAGACTCTATTATTGTAAATACGCCTTTTTACAGTTTCGTTCAGTGAGCATGAATAATAGTACCAAGTCAATGTTGGAGTTGTCTATAAAGTATAGTTTTGCTATGCACAGCAACTCAATCCAACCTTTACTGAACTTTAATATTTTGTGGTTAATGACTTTGGTCAGCACATAGGTTGTTTAAGGACTCAATCTTAGCTAGTCATGCTGTGTCGATCAGCCCAGAGGTTGTTTCAGGGTTCAATATGTGAGTTAGCTGTTCTGAGTTGATCAGCCCAGAGTTTATGGTCTTCCTGTGTCCATGGGAACCCCATCATTTTTTTGTCTACTCTACTGCATTAAATGTATAAAATTCATCTTCCAGGTTGATGAAGACTTTATAGCTGCATACCAAATGAACTATGGATTCACTGCTCCAGAAGAAAAACCTGAGGAAAAGCCATCAAGTTCCTCTGATACAACAATAACAAAGGATGGTCCAGTTGCTGCTACTGCAGAAAGCTTAAAGGTGTAATTATTATAAACCTGTAAAAGTTAGCTGGAAATATTTTTTCATATTTTGAAATTCTTGCTGAGGGTAAAATGCATGCTTTAGCATTGATCTTGCATACATTTATTGGAGCGATATTTATTTATGCTTCACTATTACTGTGGGATAATTTATATAAGTGATAAAATGGTTTACATGTAAATACTGGTGAGTTTGAGCTGTAATGTGGCTGTATCTTACCGTATCCATAACTTTGCATGGTGACTGGATGAAATATGGGAAGACAATGGGAATCGTTTCTCACTCATACAAGAACTATTCTTATGAGAAGCCATTTCAATATCACAGTATATCGTACAATGTAGGTGCAGCAAGACACTGCCTTACATTTCCCAATTATACAAAATCTGCTCAATAACTATAGCTCCATCTGTATAGAGCGTTTTCACTCACGTGAGAAGGCAGCCATAAACAATAGAAGCTTTCTGCACAGTATTTGCATAAAAATAGAGTTCAATTCCTGGAGGATAGAAAATGTATTGTTTTGGTACCCCATAATGGCTACTGTGACGTCACATGAAAACGCTCTATAATATTTTAGTAAGTCTRCAATGAAGGTGCACCCGGCCCAGGATGTTGGGTTGCCTGTGCTTTTGACAAAGGAAACCCACACATCTGGAATACATTCATAACTTTATTTCTTTAACATTTTTTAAGGAAAAGGAAAAAGATGAAACAAAAGAAAAGGATGAAAAAGGGAAGAAGAGAAAAGCTAAAGAAGAACCAAGTAAGAGAAGTTTGTCTTTCATTCATTACTCATTCTTACATGAATTTTAATTTTTCAGTTTTTTATTTTTTATAATAAAACTCTTGTTGTACATGTGACATCATAACCACCATCTTGGTTGACTTTAGTCTTGGTGTCTTTTGTCATGTCAACCATTTGTTTATTTATTTATTCTCATGGGAAGGGATGCACGCCACCAATAAGTGGAAGATTGCTAGATTATAGCTAAAGAGGAATGTAATGTCAACCATCATGCCATGTCTTTTGCCCTTTTATTCTCATATTCTCACTACCAATCATAGTACTGTGATTTTACACCAATCAGTTTTAGTTAAACATGAACATAAGGAAAATAAGGATAATCCCTTCTACAATCTTTTTTTTTTGTAGCTTGGTTCGACATGGATCAGGCCAAAAATACGAATGTCTATGTGTCAGGTAAAAATTATAGTAAAAGATACAGTATTTCCTAAATTTATAGTTATGATAGGTAGGATTAGATAAACATGTTAATTTTGATGATGGTGATCATCAATATAATGATGATGATGATGCTGATGCTGATGCTCTTGATAGTGCTGATGTATATAATGATGATGTTGGTGATGYGGATGATGCTGCTGATGATAGTGATTATGAAATATAATGTTAATGATGACGACAAAGATATTGATGGTGATGGTGACGTTAATGATGATGTCATTGTTGATGATATCATTATGATAATGACATTGATAATGATGATGATTGTAAGTATTTATGATGATGCTGGGGCTAGTGCTGGTGGGGGTCAATGATGATGGTGATGATAATAATGCTGTTGGTGACAATTATGATGATGAATGACAAAGATAATGACAATGGTGATGATATTGACTTTGATGATGATGATGATTTCATCGATATTGTTATTTATTGATAATGATGTCATTGATTATGATGACATTGATGATGATGATGATGACATTGAGGATGACGATGATGATAATGATGAGCAAAACAGATGGTGCTGATTGAAACATTATTGACACAAATCCATCAATCATCTCTAAAAAAATTGTTTGCCCTTAAAGGTCTTCCCTTGGACATCGACGAAGAAGAATTTGGAGATCTGATGTTGAAATATGGAATAATCATGGAAGACCCTGATACAAGTTAGTATCAAAATACTTGATGTTTGTTATAAACCCATCAGAATCACTAGCAGTGTTTGCATATGAACGACAGTGTTGTATCAGATTTACAGCACAAACTGAAGGCGAATGATTGTAGATTTGATGCAACATGRACTTATCTAAATCACTTTTTATTTAAGTGTCTAGTCATTCTAGCGCTTTCGCACTAATTGGGGACACTTTTCACTCACATGCACTACCACTACATTCCATATTGTATGCACACAACGCTCAACTCACATGTTGATTYTTACGGAGGGAGGAAACCGGAGAACCTGGAGAAAACCCTCATAGCATAGGAGAGAGCAACACATCGAACAAACTCAATTCACAATTCAATGTGGCGACCGTACGGCTCGAACCAGCGACCCGACCCGTTTGACTCACAGCTGTGAAAGACAACGTGTTAGCTGCAAATGCCACCCATGCTACCCATAGATTATTATATATACCCATAGATTATATATCTATTACATAGATAAAATATGCAGTTGTATAATTTTAGACTTGAGTGATGATTTTGAGATGATAGTCACTGCTCGAGCGGTGAGGTTTTCCAAAAGCTTGCCAGCGTGGCAGTATTAATACTAAAATGTCTTTTAATCCAGAATTTCATCTTTTCTTTAATATTTGAGTCTAAAATTATACAAGAACAATTATTCACCTCAGGCTCAGTGAATATGGAAAATATTTACGTCTACTTGCCTCTTGGTAAATATTCCCCGCTAATTACTTGACCTTCGACAAATAATTTGTTGAAATTTACATCTGATTTGTATGGGCCTAACTAGAGTTTATGTAATATTGTGTTATGTTATTTTATGATATTAATTATGAAATTAAATTATAGGCAAGCTGAAAGTCAAGTTATATAAAGATGAAAATGGTAAACCTAAAGGTGATGGTAGATGTTGCTATCTGAAGGTAAAATATATCAAAATCTATCAGTTGTGGCTGTAATCACAGAGCTGGACAATCACGAACGAAACCCTCAGGTTCATGCTAGGTAAAAGCCCAAGATCGAATTGGAATTTAGAAGTTGATTTTTGTGTAGGGAGGAAAACCGGAGAACCCAGAAAACCCTCGAAGCACAGGAGAGAACCAACAAACAACTCTACTCACATACAACACCGAACCTGGCGGGACTCGAACTCGGGTCGCATTGATGAGAGAAGACACATAAAAAGCACACGCCACCTGTGCTTCCCTAAATATATGCTTTTATTGAGATTTACCATTACTGGGTCGACGGCAGAATGCCAAACAGGTTTTGCAACCCAAATTGATAAGACAAGCTGAAAGATTGAATCAGAGTTTAGGAGTTGAACAGAAAAAAAAACCTTTGAACCCTTGCAGAGCTTTCAATAGAAGGCGGCAACCGGCGATTTATYGCCGGATACTTCTGCCTAAACTGCCGGCTATTTTCGACTTAATAGTACACATAATTWATAAAAAAGGGGTCTAAAATTCCATTTATTGCCCCCTAATATTTGAGAATAACCACTTACTCCAAAAAATATTGAAAGCTCTGCCTTGGAGAGAACCAACAAACAACTCAACTCACATGAAACAGAGCCCGTCAGGATTTGAACACGAGTCGCATTAGTGAGAGGTGGCRCATTTGTGGCCCACACTACCTGTGCTTCCCTAAAAGGGCTTCAAGGTTTTTTTCACAAGGTTCTCCAGTTTTCAAATGGAATCCAAAGACAGAAGAGCCACTCCGTGGATGTTGCCTGTTCCACTCTTTGGAAGTACCCATTAAGTACTATTTAAAAAACGAGAAGCAGTATATTATGGAGTATAAAAACCTGTTGCGTAGCTGATACAATCGTTTTACATGAGAAAGAATTCAATTTCCAAGAGCAATTTAAGGGATTTTATTGTTCTGCTATCTAACCACGGGCAGGTAAAGCTGTATTATGGGCAACAGCATGTGATGTGCAAAACCTCTATGTCAATGACTACATTGATGATGCAGTGGCCATCTTGAATTGTAATGCATTATGGGTCRTCCAGGGGGCAAACAAAGCTTTGTTACAGTAATGACAGCAATGTTTTCTTTTTAGATTGAAAGCRTTGATCTTGCTATTGAACTTCTTGATGAATCAGAATACAGAGGACACACAATCCACGTGGAACAGGTAGGGGAATTTAAAGAATGACATCTTGTTTTGTATGCAAGGAACTGTAAAATATCATAATAACAATGAAAAACACTGTTACCCTATCCCCCACAAGAAAATGTATTCCTCAGGAGTTGAGTTAGCCCTGCCCTGACTTAGATCAGCCCAGAGGTTGTTTCAGTGTTCAATCTGTGAGTTAGCC